ATATCATGTTATTATTGTTTATTTATTAATCTAGATATTATTTTCATATACATTTTACTAATTTTCTTTCATCTCTGACACTTCTATTATAGAGAAAGGGTGAATAGCGATATTAAAATATTTCTTCTAATTAATTTCCTTTCAATGTACACGAATTCATGTACCGGGCTACTAGTAGATGATAAACAAACAGGAGAAGAAAATGTGATTCCGAGGTTTCTGCAGCCTGGAAGGTGTTGAGATTAATAATATCATCAGCTGATGTTGGCAGCATGCTTACTACATGCCAGGTCCTATGCCACACATTTGGCTATATTGCCTCATTGACTCCTCACAGCTCTGAGGGGAAGGGGTATTATTATCCCTGTTTCATAAGGGGAATACATGAAAGTTGTTTTTATTTTTAAAGGGGGCGGGGAGGTGGAAATCAAGGATTTTACTCCAAGACAAGGGAAAGTTCAACTGGACTCTGGCTGATGGTGACCATACTTGGGGCCTGCGTCCTGGGGCAGTGCTTTGGTGTTCCTACATGTGTGGACGTAATCATGCTACCAGCCACAAAGCAATGGAACTGAGCCACTGGTGGTTATGATGGTTGCAAATCGAGCACTAGCAACCTGTCTGCTTAATGCCGCCTAGATATTTTGCTGCCGTTAAAACAGGCTGCGCTAAGCAGGTGGCTTTGCCTTGGCTCTGGACTTTAAGATTGTCAGCCAGGTAATCCAGGTGTATAGATAACAATGCTTTCCTCCTCAAATATTACCAAAAAGTAAAAAATATGACTAAGTGTAATTATCATATGATTCAGTATAAATATTGCACTTATGTAAAATACACTATTTAGACTAAAATTCTTAAATACAACTATACATCCTCCTTAATTGTTGCCAGTTACTTTTACTTCTTGTTATCGATAACAAAAACAAACAAACAAAAGCAGTTTAAGCCTGGCGTTTCCTTAAGCTTAACCTATTCACACATTTCTACCTTGTCCTGAGCCTCTGTTGAGTCCAGGGTTTGTCTGAGCCCTCTCTCTGATCTTTGAATTGCTCTGTCACCGTATTGAAAACCCCTCGAGAAAAGACCCTTGCCATATTTCCTGCTTTCAATCCCCGCTTCCTCGTTCCCTCTTGGTCAGGCAGAGACAGGAAAACAGTTTATTTATCAAATAAAGTAATAGCGTATGGAAAAAAAAAATCCCAAGGCTTTTTTCCAAATAGCAGTTTACTTTACAGCTCATTTCTAAAGGTTTTCAACTGTTTCTCTTTAGGTATCTACCTGCTAGATTGTTCACTAGGCTGCATGCCACAGTCTCTTAGCAACCATAAACTTCATGGAAAACTCCTAACTCTTTTAGAAGTTGGCCTTCTCAGAAGACTTGGAGTTATACAAGCAAGAAGTGCCGGAATTTAGTTCTCTTTTAAAATAAATAAGTTATAACAATATTTTAGAGGGCTGTCAAGTGGTTTCTTGCCATCGGCCCCTTCCGCTGAGGCTGCACTGGAGGTGTTGCTGGTGAGGAAGCTGTGTCCTCCCCCAGGGAAGGGGTCATGACTGTGGGTGTCTTTTATCCTGACTCCCTCCAGGATTGTGAAGATGTCCAGTCCCAATCTGAACATTGTGACCTTATTGGGCAGTTGTCTGACGTACAGTAGCGCTTACCTCTTTGGGATTCAAGGTCAAGATGCTTCAGTGGGAAGCTCCATGGAAACTCTCATTCAGGTAGGTGAAGTCTTAATTTTTGTTTTAAATATAATGCCCAAGTTTTGATAGGTTTTTAATCGGCTTACTCCTGTAGGTGTGGTTATCTGTGTCTTTGATGTGGGCGCTGTCAGAGGCAATCCCTGGAATGCTGAGTCAATGAGGCCCCCCTTCTGTCCCATGCCCTCTGTGGGCTGAGGCTTTGCGGACCATAATGTGTGGAGAATGACAATGGATTCTCTCATGCCTCTTGCTTCTGTCCCTTTCCACTGTAGGTAAGACTGTCCATGCTGTGCATTGGGACCTCCCTTGTGTTTGGACCCATTCTGGGGAAGAGCTGGCGACTCTACAAGGTGTTTACCCAGAGGGCCCCAGACAAGAGAGTGGTGAGTAGCAACAAGTACACAGTGCTTGACTGCAGGTGGCAGCTTCACTATTGATTAAAAGCTAGAGAAGCTTTGTCAGATTACTGGTCTGGCCCTTTTATAATAATCTGAAGTTCCTACTCCTCACTTCAAACCTTGGAGTCCTGTGGCCTCCTAAGTCCCCAAGCCTGGAAGGCTGTGTGTGTTACTGCTATTGGAGAGATAGGTCTTTGAACATAGGTTCTGCTTCATATGCACCCAGGGCCCTGGTACTGCTCTGGGGATGTGAGCTGGCCAAGATGAGGCATCAGTGTGAGGTGACCAGAGAGAGCATTGCTTGACAGAGGTGTGAGTTGAAAGTGGAGGGAGGGAGAATGAGTACAGAGAAGCTCTAGCAAGTGTAAGCAGTTATTTCCCTCAGGGGAGCCTAGTTCTTTTCATGTAGGAGGCCACTCTCTGCACTAAGAAGGATGGACGTAGAACAGAGAGCAAAGAAGAAGACACCCATTCAGCAGATAGAAGCTATGTGGCAGCAGATCACCTACGTGTCTCTGTTATCAGATGTCATCTTAACCACATCCCCTCATTTTATCAGGTTCCCTGATAGAGCTGCCAAAATCTCAAAGCCTGATCATCAAACTCCGCTATAGGCTCTGCCCAGTCCCAATATATCTCTCAGTGGGATTTTACTTTTGTGGAATGATGCTTTTTATATTTCTTTTTGAATTATTGAATAATGGTGAATATTTATCAGAAGCTCAGCTGTAAGTACCCATACGTATGAAAAACATTGCCTAAACATGGACAAGAAATATATCCATCCCTCACAGTGGTTCTCAACCTTCCTAATGCCGCGACCCTTTAATACAGTTCCTCATGTTGTGGTGACCCCCAACCATAAAATTATTTTTGTTGCTACTTTATAACTGTAATTTTGCTACTTTATGAATCGTACTGTAAATATCTGATATGCTATATGTGTTTTCCGATGGTCGCAACCCACAGGTTGAGAACCGCTGCTCTAGAATATTGATTTTTTTTAAAAAAAAATAGCTTTATTGAGGCATAGTTGACATGCAATGAACTCCACGTATTCAAAGTGTATGATTTCATAAGGTTTGGCATATGTATATTCATTAAACATGGTGTATAAGCCACAAAAACTTTCTCATACACCTTTATCTCCCTTTCCTGTCCAATCCTTTATCCCCTGTCCCTGTCCCTAGGCAACTATTGATCTGCTTCCTGTCACTATAGATGACTTTGCATGTCCCAGAATTTTACATAAATGGAATCATACAGTATGTACTTTTCCCCCCATCTTCTTACACTTGGCATAGTTATTTAGGAATTCATTCATGTTGTGGTGTGCTTCAGTGGTTCTTTCCTTGTTATTGTAGAGCAGTATTCCAATGTGTACATGCATTTTAGTTTGTTTCTCTGTTCACTGATTGGTCGATGTTTGGGCTTGTTTCCAGTTTGTGGCTATTAAAAATAAAACTATGAATATTCATGTACAAGTCTTTATGTAAACATATTCTTTCATTTCTCTTAGATAAAACCCCAAGAGTAGCCCTAGCTGGTTTTGCTTAGTGGATAGAGCTTCGGCCGACAGACTGTAGGGTCCTGGGTTGGATTCTGGTCAAGGGCATGTGCCTAGGTTGCGGGCTCAATCCCCAATAGGGGGCATGCAGGAGACAGCCGATCAATGATTCTCTCTCATCATTGATGTTTCTAGCTCTCTCTCCCTCTCCCTTCCTCTCTGAAATGAATAAAAATATATATTTTTAAAAACAGGGGCGGGGGGGGGGCATCTTAAAAAGAAAACACCCATGTGTAGAATGGTTGGATCATGTGATAAGTGTATGTTTAACTTTTTAAGAAATTGCCTGACTGTTTTCCAAAGTGATTGTGCCATATTACATTCTCACCAGCAGAGTTTTAGAGTCCCTTTCCTCCACATCCTCTGCAACATTTGGCTTGGTTGGTCTTTTTTATTTTAGCCATTCTAATTAGTGTGTGTAATAGTATCTTGTTGAGACTTAATTTGCATTTCCCTAATGCAATGTTGAGCATCTTTTCACATATACACAGGATCGGGACAAAAGTAGGTTTACAGTTGTTTATATGGAAAATAATACAATAATTAATAAAAAATACACAAAGAAACTGTTTCACATAAAACTGTAAGCCTACTTTTCCCCACCCTGTAATAGTAGATCTTCTTTGGCGAAGTATCTGCTCATTTCTCACACATTTTTAAATTCAATATTTTGTTTTCTTATTACTGAGTTTTGAGAGTTCTTTTTTTTAAATTCAGGATATAAGTCCTTTATCAGATATATGATTTGCAAGTATGTTCTTCCAATTTGTGGCTTTTCTTTTTATTCACTGAAGAGTGTCTTTCAAAAAGAAGAAGTTTCTAATTTTGATGTTCAATTTACCTAATTTTTTTATGCATTATGTTTTTGGTATCAAATCTAAAAACACTTTTGCCTGACTCAAGGCCCCCAAAAGTTTTCTCCTGTGTTTACTTGTAGTTTTAAGAGTTTTCATTTTTACAATTAGGCCTATCATCATTTTTTAGTTAATTTTGAAATATGGTGTGCTACATGGATCAAACTTCATTTTATGTATGGATATCCAATTGTTCCAGCAACAATTGTTGAAAAGACTGTCCTTTCTTCATTGAATTACCTTCGTTGAAAATCATTTGTCGATAGATATCTTGATCTATTTCTGAATTCTACTGTGTGTCATGGATGTAGTTTATTTTAACACAAATACCATATTACCTTGATTACCGTAGCTTTATATTAAATCTTGAATTAGGGATTGTTAGCTCTCCAACTGTGTTCTTCTCTTTCAATGTTGTTTTTGCTATTCTAGATCCTTTCAATTGTCATTTGGGTTTTTGAATCAGTTTGCAAATTTCTACAAAAATCCTATGGAGATTTTGATTGAGATTGTTTTGAATTTATAGATCAAATTGTAAAGCATTGACTTCTTAACAATGTTGTGTCTTTTAACCCATGAACAGAGTATATTTCTCCATTTATTTAGGTCTTCTTTAATTTATTTCAGCATTTTTTTTTTGTATTTCTTAGTGGAAGTCTTTTACACCTTTTATTAGATTTATAACTAAGTATTTTATATTTTTGTGCTACTATACATGTTATTGTTTTTTATTTCACTTTCCAGTTTTGTCTTGCTAATATATAGAAGTATGATTTATTTTTGTATGCTGACCTTGTTTGTTGCAAATCTTACTAACCTACTTGTTAATTCTAGTAGCTTTTTTATTTATTTTATTTTTTTATTTTCTAAAGTTTTACAATTGTCTTCTTTATCCCCAATTGACCCCCCCTCCCCACAAGCAAGAATTCTAGTAGCTTTTTAAATAGAATCCATCAAATTTTCTACATGGATTATCATATCATATGTGAATAAAGACAATTTCTGTCCAACCTCTTGTATGATGGCACTTGCTAGAAACAATAGTACAATGTTTAATAGAAGTGCTGAGAGCAGACATTCTTGAGTTGTTCTTTATTTTATGGGGAAAGCATTCAGTCTTTCAAAGCTAAGGAAGATGTTAGCTGTCATTTCATTGTAGATACCTTTTATTTAATTGGGGAAGCCCCTCTATTCCTATTTTTCTGAGAATTTTTATAAAGAATTAATGTTGGGCCCTGGCCGATTTGGCTCAGTGAATAGAGCGTCGGCCTGTGGACTCAAGGGTCCTGGGTTTGATTCCGGTCAAGGGCACATGCCAGGGTTGTGGGCTCAGTCCCCAATAGGGGGCGTGCTGGAGGCAGCCAATCAATGATTCCCTCTCATCATTGATGTTTCTATTTCTCTCTTTCTCTCCCTTCCTCTCTGAAATCAATAAAAATATATTTAAAAAAATAAATAAAGAATTGATGTTGGGCTTTGTAAAATGCTTTTTCAATGTTTGTTGACATGATTACATGTTTTTGTTTTTTTAGTTGTTCATATGTTAAATTACAATAAATGATTTTAGAATCACAAACCAACCTTGCATTCCAGACAAACTCCACTTGGTCATGATGTATTATCCTCTTCTTATATTGTTGGATTTATTTTGTTTATAATGTGAATTACTGTTCATAAGGGATTGCTCTATAATTTTCTTTTCTTGTAAAATCTTCCTCTGGCTTTGGTATCAGGATAATGCCAGCCTTCTAGGATGAATTGGAAAGTATTCCCTCCTCTTCAGTCTCTGGAAGAGTTTATGTATAATTGGCATTCACCTCGTATAAGTACTTTACAATAGCATGCTTCTATTTCTCCCCTTCTCAATCATTGTTCTATTGTTTTTATTTTTGCATGTTATTTTTGTTTGTTTGTTTAAAATTAGTTATCTTTTTAAAAATCAAATATCTGATGGAAGAGAAAGAACTTATTTTTAAAAAATATTTTTTTGTATTGATTTCAGAGAGGAAGGGAGAGGGAACGAGAGATAGAAACATTGATGATGAGAGAGAATCATTGATTGGCTGCCTCCTGCATGCTCCCTACTGGGGAGGAGCCCATAACCCAGCATGTGCCCTGACCAGGAATCATACCATGACCTCCTGGTTCATGGTGACACTCAACCATTGAGCCACAGTGGCTGGGCTAAAATTGGTTATCTTTTAAAGATATATTTAAAAATAAAAATCAATCACATCTTTTTCCATTAAGTTAACATTTCCAGAGCTCTCACTCTCCTTGTACAAGTATTATTTTGATATTATTTTCCTTTTTTTCTGAAGAATCTCTAACATTCTCATGCAAGTGTGCTAGTGTTAAATTTTTTCAGTTTTTGTTTATCTGAAAAAGTCTTTATTCCACCTTTGTTTCAGAAAGATATTTTCTGTTGGATGTAGAATTCTAGGTTGAGGTTTTACTTTTTACTCTTAGTACTTTAAAGTTTTTCTCCACTGTCTTCTCACTTGGCCTTCTACCTGATGAGATATCTGGTCTTCCTTATCTTTGCTTCTCTATAGATAATGTATCTTTGTTTACTGGTTGCTTTAAAGATTTACTCTGAATCACTGGTTTTGAGCAGTTTGATTAAGCAACCAATTGCTTTTACCTTACAAACACCAGGAATCATGTAACTGGTTGTGCTTTCTTCTTTCCATTGGTTGACACAAACTCAGTCCCACATTTCTGCCCCAATACACGAATGTTGTGTATGCTACTCACCTGAGGTTTTATCATAATTCTTTTTCATTATCTCTTTTTTTAATGTGTTTCAGTTTTTTATCCTGTTGCAAGATATGTGTTTTCTTAATTTTATTTTTGTAGTCACAAAAGTAAGGCTTTTTTTGTGTATGAAGTCAAGTGATTCATATAAGTATAAAGAAAGTGTTAGCAACTCCTCAGCTCTCAATCCCATCCACCAGGTTAATGGTTTTAATAGTTTTATGTGAAAACTCCCACATCTCTTTATCTGCTCATATACACATATCTAGAAATAATGGAGTATTTGCTTTATAGAGCCCTTGAATCTTTTGTGGAAAAAGCCAGAATATGGGAAATATAAACAAATGGAAATATTTAATGGTGATGATGACATGACACAGAAATCATTGGAAATATTTAGTATCTGTTTCACCTTTGATGGCTGGATGTGAAGCTTTCGGGGACAACTAACCCTGGAGTTTATAGCTCAGAGCATGTAGGACACTCTAGCCCCGGTGTAGCTGGTGAGCTAAGGAAAATTATGACCTTGACTCTTTTTCAGATCATCAAAGACCTGCAGCTACTGGGGCTGGTGGCAGCCCTGGTGATAGCTGATGTGATCCTGCTCCTGACGTGGGTATTGACTGATCCCATCCAATGCCTCCAGATTCTCGGTGTCAGTATGACGGTGAGGGGCCCAATTCCTGGAGAATTCACTTCCTGACCTGGGGGGACTGGGTTCTGTGGGCACACAGGGGTCGTGCTCCCAGGAGCACTCACTGTGTGGGCATGCTCCCAACAAGAAGATAAGTGACACAAAGAGGAGGGAGAGTGAGGCACTGTGGCTGCTGTGAATGCCTTGCCCCTTGTCTGCAAGGTGTGCTCCCACTCCCGCTGCTCCTCCTGCCCCAGGTGTCCTCCACCTGCATCCACTAAGGTGTCAACACACTGGAATCTGCCTGGCAGTTATCTCTGCTTCCACATTATCAATAATGAGAGCTCGGAGCAACAGGAAGTTGCTTTCCCCTAATTGTTGGGAAGTAAAAGTAGGAATCTGAGGTTGTCTTTGGAGTCAGTCAACCCTGGTTCAAATCCTAGCTCTACTACTTTCTAGCCAGGTGACCTTGGGAAAGTCATTTAACCTCTCTAAGTCTCTAATTCCTCATAAGTAAAATGGAGATAATACTACTACCTGTTTCTTAGGGCTTTGGTGATAAGTAAGTAAAAGCCTGCAGGTAAAGAACTCAATTGTGCCTGATACATAGTCTTCAATTGATAGGAAATCCTATGTTCCCAGACTCACAGGGGCTGGGGAATACAGTGGAACCTTGACATTGCAGATTTAATATTTAAGGTTTCAACTGTTAACAAATAGTAGAAATTTATCATTCTGCTGGTGCACTAATGTGAATCATTATGGTAGCAAAGCACACAACAGAGGGTAAGCCCGCTGCCACCAAACATCCAACTTTATTGTCTTTTCCTCCAATTAATAGTCACTCTCATTTATTTAATGGAGTCAACTAAATTTTATAGCTTTTACACATTAAGGGGGAAAATAGAGGCTGTACAGGAGTTCACACTCCAGGACCTTCACAGGGATCTGCTGTGTGTTCCTGGTAATTGTGGGTCCCCTCAGTACTGACTCTGTGTCCCTCCTAGGTGACAGGGAGAGAAGTGGCCTGCTCGCTGACCAGCACACACTTCTGCGCTTCCCGGTACTCTGATGTCTGGATTGTTCTTGTTTTGGGATGCAAGGTTGGTATCCACATCTTCTTGGGGTACAGTCTGTCTGTCACCAACAAAATGGACATATATGAAGAAGGAATTAATGAGGTGATTCCTGCAAAGAATCTTGAAATCAGGAAGACCTCTGTTGATACATAACTCTCACAACCAGGACTCTTATTATTTCTTTACATTTGGGAGTGGGGGGGGGCGGGGCACTTTTTCAACTCTTTGGACTTCCTCGGTTTGTTCTCTCCAAATCATTGGAATTCACCTACTGTTTCTCCCATATCTTGGCTTGGTTTTAAATTTACTTGTAAATGTCAGTTTTCTTCCCAAATCCCTGCAAGGAAGACTGTGTCAAGGTATCCTGCTGCCGTTCACCCACCTCACTCTCACTCTGGTTGGAAGACGGGCTGGCTCAAAGACAGATGACAACACCCAGGGTGTCCTTTGAGTGATTCCAGCTGCCTCAAGTGTCTCCCGCCCTGAATCTCCCATCATTAGACTCATTTGTCTCTGGTAGATGGTAAAAGTAGGATATTATTTCCAGAGGGCACAGGATATCTACATAGGGCACTGAGGGAGATCCCTAGAACCAACTGTCCTGTTAGCTGGTTTTCAGCTTGTAGGGATAGAGAATCTGGCTGTGGGAGCATAGGGTAGGCCTGTTTCAATGAATAGGGTGAGCCCTGGGTGGCAGGAGCCTGTCTGTCAATTATCAGGGTAAAAAGGCCTGGTTGACTGATTGCTGGCAGAATAGGAGTTTTTCTCTGAAGGTAAACTTTCAAGTGGGTGCTTCAGAGAAATAGCCTTGGGGATGGGCAGGGATTGGACAGGGAAATGTTGCTTTTTAATTATGTGCATATATTATTACTTTGATTGAAATATTTTCAAAAGAAAATACTAGGAAATGAACAGCTCTTTCCTGGTTTCTTGCTTAAGAAAATGAGCTTCAGAACATGACAGAGCAGGGTTTGAATTCTGACTCAGCCCCTTCCTAGCTGACCCTGAACCTCATTTGACCTCTCTGAGCCTTAGTTCCCTTACGTAAAATGGGGTGATGATAATATCCACTCAGAACTGTTTTGAGTTTCAAAGGAGTTAATGCATAGCAAGAGTTCCAACCACTCCTGCCCCATAGTAAGAGCTCAGTAAATTTTAGTTATTATTATTAATCTTCTACTTCTCCCCTAGAGTGTAGGGCCTAGATATTTCTGAAAATCACAGCCCCTCTCCCACTTCCTCAAGCCCTAGAGAAGAGCATGTCCTCCCCAGCAGCAACTTCGCACGTCCCCCATAGCAATTCACTTTGCGACTCAACTTGATTTATTTTCTCCATTGCCTTTTATATAAATACCATTTCTATTTGATTTCACTGTAATATCTTTCTGAAGGACAAAGAAAGAAA